TGCACCAGCCAAACAGAACCCTCATCATCGTTCGTATTTCTGAATAGCATCACACTGTTGTTGTTTTTTAAGTCTAGGCAAAGCAACTCACTATTTCTAGAAGAAAAAACCCCCCAAAAGCAGGGCATGGAATTGCAGAACTTGATAGGACCCTAAAGGGCATCAAGTCCAACCCCAGCCTGTGGGAAATTCATAGCTAACACACCCCTAATGGGTAGGCATATGCTATTGACATAAGGAGAGAGCAACAGCCAAGAACTGTAAAAATCATATAAAGCTTCATTAAGCAATGAAGTTTCTTACCCAGACATGGGACAACTTCGGACAAATCTGTAATAGGATTAGAGCAGAGGTCAGCTAAATATTAAGTAATCTGCTTTTGCACCAGCCAAACAGAACCCTCATCATCGTTCTTATTTCTGGATAGCATCACACTGGGGATTTTATTTTTAAGTCTAGGCAAAGCAACTCGCTCTTTCTAGAAGAAAAAAAATCCCAAAAGCAGGACATGGAATTGCAGAACTTGATAGGACCCTAAAGGTCATCAAGTCCAACCCCAACCTGTGGGAAATTCATAGCTAACGCACCCCTAATGGGTAGGCATATACTATTTACAAACCCGCCTGCACAGCAGAGTCCATGGACATTAGAGGCTGATAAACAACAAGCAATTCATTTGCCCGTATATGTAGTGCGGTGTAGTGGCTAGAGGAGTAGGTTAGGACCCCAGCTGTGGGAAATTCATAGCTAACACACCCCTAATGGGTAGGCATATGCTATTTACAAACCCGCCTGCACAGCAGAGTCCATGGACATTAGAGGTTGATAAACAACAAGCAATTAATTTGCCCGTATATGCAGTGCGGTGTAGTGGCTAGAGGAGTGGGTTAGGACCCCAGAGACCTGGATTCGAATCCCTGCTCAACCAGAGAAACTAAAAACTACTCTTTAAATATCTGACTTAACTTGACAGCCCTGTTAGGGCCACTATAAGTCACTTCCAAGTTGACATGAAAGAGAACTTCTGGGTAGCTCAGTGGGTTAGGTCTCTGACTGCAGAGCCAGAGGTTAGGAGTTCGATTCCCCCCCGGGGCTCTTTGAGAGGGACTGGTCTCCATCATCCATAGGGTCTCTTCTGGCTCTGCAGTTCTAAGATGATAACGACAGTAATGTGCCTGTGGGGAAGCTTTGACAGGGAAAGAAAGAAACCGGTAGCGTCCATTCTTGTACCACAGCTTCCTTATGAAATGCAACCTGAATTTGCTTGCTTTACGGCTGTGAGAGAAGCTGATTTCTACGTTTTACGGGTTCTATAGCATCCCACAGAAATCTCTCTTCCCCCCCTCCCTGTCCTTAAATACTTCTTAAGATGTTGCACAGCCTTCAACTCACAAACACACAGTTTCTGTTTCCTTTTTGAACACAAGCCCAAGGCAAAAGTGGACCCGACATAAAGGACCAGCAGCCTATTCACAGCAAGAGATGGAATCTGAAGAGGAGGATAAAAGGAGAGTTGGAACGGGCTATTTAAATAAAATATAGATTCCAGGCCCCCCTCCCGCCCCCACTCCTTCTCTGTCTTGTTTCCCCTCCAAACTGGGACTGGATCAGGCCGACAAACTGCATCGCAGAGTTAATCAGCATAATGATCTGAGTGGGAAATGTGTGTGTGTGTACACACAGAGAGAAAGCAATATCATTATGCATCAGGATGATTGCATACAGGGTATTAAGCTGCCCCAGTTTTAAAAGTTTATCCTTCATGTCATTGGCATCAAGAAGGATGAGATCTGCTTTGTCAGGTTTTACCTGGAAAGCAAGATATAAATACCTTAAATAAGAATAAGCCAAAGCAGGTCATCTTCCTCTGTTGCTGGTGGAGAGAAATATATACATTTTTTAAAATAAAAAAAATAAAATATCTATGTATACATTCTGGCTTTCCTATCTCCAGTATTATTCTACTAAGTTTTATGATGTTTGATACTGCTAAATATGTTGGACCAGTCTGGGGAGGCATCGTTGCACCTTCCAGATGTTCTGAGCATCAGCACCCAGTCCTAGAATCTCCCATCGCTCCTGGAGTTACAACTCCACAAACATCTCAGAGGATGGGAGTTTTGTCAAATAAAGTAATGCAGCAGGACTCCCATAACTGCGGGATCGGGATCGGCAGTTTCCGCAGCCTTCACCTACTTCTCTGTGCTTGAAAGCTGAAAGCCACCACTGTTGCATTGCAAGACATGAGCAGGGCTGATCATGTCACAACCATTTAGAGGTTGTTGATTCATACGGCCACCCTCAATCAGAAGCAGCTTGACCTTACATACTCAACAGCCTTGAGTGCAGTTGTCCACCCGCTGTGACCTATTGATGACTCTCATGGTCAACGGTTAAGATTTCAGATCTTCATATCCGGGACCATCAATGACTCTCAACAACCACCGGTTGATCATCCCCGTGATGAACCTTCTGCATTTCTATCACATTTCCTATTCCCGCCCTCCTCGTGATCATTCAAACATCTCTATGTTGAGCTTGCATGCTGTGCATGTATAGGTTGCCACCCATGTAAACTTACGCCAAAATTGGCTAGTCTTTAAACTATCCCAAGATGGCTAGTCACTTTTTTTTTAAGAAAAGATTTCTTATAGTCTCTGAACTCCTAAACGGAAGGAAATACATGAGAGAATTTGCTGGCCTTAGGTTTTCCACCAAGCATGTCTTTAAGACTCTCTTGCCCTCTGCTGGAAAGATGGGATGATGGCGTCTCCTTTCAAGCTATCATGAGATGATAACGGGTGTAGGATTGAGGGAGGGAGGGGAAATCTTGAACCTGTTGTGCGTTGTTGGGTTTGCACAGAAGGCGGCTTTGATTTTTTTAAAATTATTATTTACATGTTGATCTGCTGCTAACCATTTCCTCTGAGCGAGTGGTTCCCAAGCTTGGGTCCTCCAGATGTTCTTGGACTACAATTCCCAGAAGCCTTCACCACGAGCTGTGCTGGCCAAGATTTCTGGGAGTTGCAGTTCAAGAATGTCTGGGAGCAGCGAACCACAGCAAGAAAGAGTCCCAAAGAGAACATGGTTTAGACTCTGGAGAAGCAACCGGTTCAGTGAGCTGGTTGGGAGGTTCCAGATGTTGTACTCCCCAAAAGTTAACTTTTCCAAGTTAGATCTAGAGCATGCAAATAGGGATTCAAATCTTCCATGTCTAAGAAGAGTTAAATACCTCCAGCGGAATGTGACTTCCATAAAGCATGGCAGTCATAAGGTAAGATTCCTGCTCTAACATCTGGACTATGAAAGTATTGTTGGATCCATTATTACAGATCATGCTTCCTGAAAAATAAGTAGTTTGGGAACATAAATGGGGGCCTGTACTGTACAGCAATTCTTTGCAAGAATGTGCTGACCCCTGCTGGCAACTGTGCCTGGAATTACAGCTTTAATCAATGTACCAAATCAGTTACAAGAGTGGTAAAATATATCTCCTAAATCCAGTTGTGACCTATTAAATTAACTATTAAATTAACTATTAACATTACCTCATTGGTCTTCCCTAGATGGGACAATTTAGGCCTATAAATCAATATGCGACAAAATACAAGAAATTTTTTGGACCTATGATGGATAAAACCAAACTACTGGGTTATACAGTATACAATACTATGGATGGAGCCAGAGGCTGGGAGTTCATTTCCCCACTATG